GTGAAAATACACATAGCCAAAGATACACCGTTTCAAAAATTTCTGCATACACAGTTCAGTGACATTGACTATGCTCTTTCAATTGTGCTGTTATTCTCACTTAAGATGAAGGCTCACAGAACAAAATAGTTTCTCATTTAACAGTTACTACAAATGTTGGCCTATGACAATGGTTATAAGATGTTTTTTTTTTTTTGTGTTTGCTCCCTTCCCGCATGAGAACCAATTTTCACCCCCTTGGGGGACATATCTCCCAAGTCGAGAATGTGTGGCTGTGAGAGATGATATGATGTGCTGAAGGTCACATAAAGAGAAAGTGGCACAACTGGAATTTAAGCCCCTATTTCTTTTTTTCAAGTCTGCTTCTCTCTTGTACTGTAGCTTCGCTTCCTCACTCTTATTCCCAAATACAGATGCTTTTGCTGAGATATGGGCGTATCAGACCTTCCTATGGAAAAGATTCACCAGAAGGTTTTTAAGGGAAAAGTTACAGAGTCATTGCTAGAAAGAAACAGAGCATCTAGTTCCAAAAAACATCTCTTTCTTGATAAATCTCTTTATCCCACTGTCTAAAATAGTGTGAACCTGGTAGTTGCCATTGTTTTCTTTATTGAGCTATAAAAGGAGGATAAATGAAGAGGAAATATGATTTTTATAAAAATGTTTTGTAGCATACCTTTAGTCAAGGCCCCACCTCTCCTCCTCTTGCTGTAAAGGAATAGTCTTTTACATAATATCTAGACAAGGCAATTAAAAAGAAAAAAAAGAACTGTTAAACAATTATAGCCCTACACAGTACCCTTGGACTTTGGGGTTAACCCTGGCTTTGACATGCCATGTTTTTCTTATCTCTTGCCTGGTCCAGATCACATAGCATCGTGCCCTACCTAACTATACCACTACTCACTTTAAGGAGAACCAACAGGCAAAAGATGAATAAAAACATAGGTCTAGTTTTTGCCTTTGTGTCTACATATTCTCTAAATACATTTATTACCTGGAACCTTTCACTAAGTTTCCCTTCTTTTAGTCTAGAACTGGAATATGCAAAGCACTATTAACATCTGTACAATTCTTGACTTTGTTTTAACTTCAAAATGAGTAGCAGCCGTAACTTACCAGTTAGTACAGACCCTGCCAAGGTCCATCCTAAACCCCTTTCAAACTCGTTATGGACTAGGTAATAAAGGTGGGCTTAGGCAGGGAGGTGGACCAAGGTCCCCTAATGAGAGGAGACTGGGAGAAATTCTTAGCACTCATTTTGAATTTGTGTTCTTAGAGAGTAAATTTCTATCAGAAGTAATTTAATTCATCATGATTGTTCTTACCTTTGCATAAATCTTAGCAGTTTTTCACTGTGTAACCTTGAAACTATAGACACTGTAGGGCTACGACATTGGAGAAGGAAAATGTTGGACATCAGGTTGGAGGATTATAAAAGGCACTCTTCAGCTGTTCTTTCCTGATCCAGTATATGGAAAGGCTTCACTATAAGTTTAGACACAATAGATCTGTTAAAGATGAGATACAGAGCACATGGTTCCCAAGAGTTTTTCCCCACTTCTAGAATCCTAGGACTTTCATCAGTGCATAAAATCTGATATTTAAACATATGGACTGATATTTACCCAGGCCTCATATGCTAATAGAACCATTGTTTTTGTAATCCAGATCCTCAGTAAATTGCTAGCTGTGGGTTAACAGCTTGTACTGCACCCCATTTCTCCCTCCCCCACTCCCTCCCTGGTGATACAACAATGAATAAGAAAGTGCATAATTTTATGTAGTATAATGTTCTAGCAGGAAAGGCAAGACTGAACAAAATACCTACCTGTAGGATAAGTATTTTGAGAAGGGAAGGGCAGGGTGTAGTAAGAGTATAAAATGGGAGAGGAAGTTAATACAGGGGAGAAATTATGGTGACTTAGTCTAGCCAGTGGGGTAGGAAAAAGAGAAGGAGTCCAGAAAATTCTTTGAAGTAAAAGAAGCAGGACGTTGTGAGAAATTGCAAGTGGGGTGAAGAAGGGAGAGCTCATGATGATTTTGAAGTTTCTGGCTTGAGCATTTGGGTCAATAGTGCCATTTATTAAAACAGGAAATCATCGAGAAGGAGCCATTTTAGAAGTGACGATCATTTAAACTTGGGGTTCCTCTAGGGTGTCCAAGTGGGGTTGGTAAGTCAATAGTTGGATATATGGGTTTAGGTTTTAGTAGGGCTCTGGCCTGGAGATAGAGTTTAGGGAATAATCATCTAGAAGTAGTAATCTCATTGAAGCAGTGAGACTGGAGATCACCCAGGAAAAATGTAGAGAATGTAAAAAGAAGACAGAGCTCGTCTGAGTTCCCTTCCCTCTCATCAAGTGCTGCCTGGAAGGTATAGCGTAAAGGGAGGGATATTTTTTGCTCCCATTCAGCAATAGAAATACAATGCAAGCCACACAGGCAATTTTAACTTTTCTAGTAACCACATTTTTTTAAAGTTTAAAAAGGTGAAGTTTATTTTAATAATATATTTTATTTAACACCCTATATTCAAAATATCACTTTATCATTTAATCGATGTAGAAATTATTGAGATATTTTACATTCTTATTTTCATACTAAGTCTTTAAAATCTAGTGTGTATTTTACACTCTCAGCGTGTCTCTATTCAAACTAGCCACATTTTCAGTGCTCAGTAGCCACGTGTGGCTAGTAGCTACTGTATTGGACGTCATAGTTGTAGTTCATCTTGACCTTCTCTTACCCTCAGTTTGTGCTGAGAGCCCTAAGTATAATTTCTAGAGTTTTCTTATGCTTTCAAGCAGTGGTTCTCAACCAGGGATAATTTGCAGTATCTGGCAATGTCCAGGGATGTTTCTGGTTGTCAGTACTGGATAGGGGTTGGGGTGCTACTGGCCCTAGTGAGTAAAGGTTAGGGATGCTGCTAAACATGTTACAATGCACAGGACAGCCCCCCAACAAAGAATTATCAGCCCAAAATATCAGTAGTGCTGAGGTTGAGAAACTCTGCTTTGAAGTCAAACTGTAATTAAACATTCTGATTGAATATTTACTAAAACACACTCATACACACACCTTCGTTTTTTATTTCTAATTGGTTACAGATCATAATAAAATAATTATAGCTAACATTTACATAATCATTTAAAGTTTATAGCAACACTTTCACATACATACATTATCTTATTAACTGGACTACAAGTTTAGTTTTCTTCCTATTCTACCACAACTGCCCCTTAATAAATTTTACCAACCCTATAGGACAGAGTAGAGCTGCCCCATAGGGTTTCCAAGGAACAGCTGGTGGATTCGAGCTGCTGACTTTTTGGTTAGCAGCCGTAGCACTTAACCACTGTGCCACCAGGGCTCCTTACATGATTATTATTGACAGTTATTAGTAAATATCTTGCACTTCATTGTGTTGTAATTTTAATTCATCAAAAGATTTTTGAGGGAACTATTAAAACACTTTTGAGATCTAAATTTTATCTTATTACTAGGTCATATCTCAAGTCTATGAGTATAAATTGACCCAATGGCAACACGTTTGGTTTTTTTGGTTTTATCTCAAGTTTAATCTTACCGTTCCTTCTCTAGTATGGCTTTAACCCACTAGAGCTTGTCAGGAGTCTTTTATTTTTATGTGTTCTTCCTCTTAGGATTACCACTTCATCTTCTTTCTTTCCACCCGTCTCCCCCCATCCAGATCCCACACACCTCTATATAGTAAAGGGGGAACTAATCTTTATTTTATTCTCCTTCCTCCTCTGCTTAAT